AAAAACGGACGAGAACTGGCATGCGCATTGTGTACCAAGGGAAATGAAACAAATTAGTGGAAACCCTTCAGAGCCTTAACTACGTAAAACTGAGTGCTAACAGCTAATGTAATTTTAAACAGCATCAATCAAGAGAATATGAAGTACTAAATATTCTCTTGCATCAATATAGAGCTAATGAATATTGACTTCTGTTGTTCGTAGTATRTTTTGGTCTAACTATATGGAAGACATAGATTTCCCATGCGTCTCATTTGAAAAGGGACGACTTATGCAAGACGCAAGCGATATATCCACAGGAAGCCCGAGTAAAAACAACTAAAATAGTCTTATAGCATGAATTTCAGGTTTTTAGTTAAAYGAATATTTAATCATCAGTGCAGTCATTGCGTGCCTCGATATACATGAACCTTACTTAACAGCTAAATTATGACTGGTGCCTCGGGTCCGGTTGACATGAAGTTAGGATGACMGAATAGTGCTAGGGAAAGGCTTTTGCTTTCTTTCACCAGGAGACACACCAAAAAAACAAAAGATTTAGGTATAGCAGSAAAGGTCAGTCACCCTATCCACATGACTAAGAGTCTAATAAGTAAAGACAGACGACAAAAGTCTATCTTTTAATAATTAAATCTCATGTATTAATAATAAATATTTTTGGACCAAGGTACTTACCAAAACTGGGTTATTGATGTTTTTCATTTCCTTTCATCCTTTCCTTTCCTTTCGTTTAGTTTCTTTCCAAGGAACTTTTAGATTGGCTCACTGATCCAACACATACACCACACGGTTGTTCGCTATTATRCCATGATTTTTATCGTGCACCTACATAAATGACAAGATGTTAAAACAAAATTTTTGACGAGCCTTAAAGAACTAGGCGCGCTTTGGACAATTAGTGCATAATAGCGCTATATAAATAAAATTATTATCATTAGCTATATTGTCTGGTGATTTAAATCAGCAACGGGRGTCGGAGTATATAGAGGGGAAATCACGTCTTTTTAGACAACTGGAGCGGGTATGCTTTATATTGTCAGGTATGAAGTGTGAACGGGGGTCAGTGGGGCGATCAAAGAAAGATTAGAGAGCAACTAACAATATTTTGAAGCGGAGGCAGGCAGGCAGGCAGGCAGGCAGGCAGGCAGGCAGGCAGGCAAGGAAGCGGAAAGAAAGAAAGAAAGTAATTAAGTAAGAAAAAAGTAAGAAAGTGAGAAAAAACGAAAAAAAGGTGAAACATTTAAAGAAATAAATCGCATTTAAATTGAACAATAACAAAACGAAAAAAAGGTGAAACATTTAAAGAAATAAATCGCATTTAAATTGAACAATAACAAAACAACTTATGAAATATTACTCAGATGTATGTAAATAATTAATTAGATAATTAATTTACCATTCCACCCCTCCCCTAAGAGGAGTAAAAAACACAATTCCTATTACGTGTATTCTTATTTTATTCTTTATTTTATCATATTCTTTATCATTATTTATTTTATTCAATTGAGACTGGCTGTGACTTTATGAAAAAGGTTATTGTTTAGTTCCGTCCCATCCAAACAAATCTGCCATCTGACAGGAGGCTCGGTCAGGGAGTCTGGTTCTATCCCCCTATTGCTGTTAACAGCATGTGAATCAAAACAAGTTGAATACTTGGCTTCGATAAACAACACGCTCCCACAGAGAATCCAAAAACTCATTTTCCGAGACAAATTTGAGCCATTAGCATCGACTAGACTAGTTAAAGACGTMTCTCCTAGTCTAAAAATTATTGTTTGTGCTTTGGTTTTGATTAAGAAGTGCGTTYTTAAAGCGGATCTATGTGTTTACTGGAAGGATATCGTAGTGTTGTTGGTCGATGAGACCCGACATGGCGACCTACGAAGACCTAGTGAAATGTGGATATTTAGATATGAAACTGCCGAGAAAGGAACGTAAAGTAGCTCAAAAGGTAAGTCCTCGAAATAAAATGTAGTTTTATTTCACTACTACTTGTGATGWTTCGAATCCATTGAAGAAAATTAGCCTGCGATAATGTATTCCTCTCACGTAAAATCTCTTGCTTGTGAACGTGTGATAAACATTCATCTTCTTGCGCGAATAACTTTCATATTTCTAGACTTTTCAGCAATCTTATTATAGATTTATAGAATATAAATRTTAAGAGCTAAAGGTTGGTATAAAATAAGTAAAAGTCTTTGAGATTTTAGGCGTAAACGARGGAATTTTGTATTTGAGTGAGTACGGCGTGGCCTTTCGTAAACAACTACAGACCTTGTTTTTCTCTGTTTTGGCACTATGCCTTAACGATTCTAGGATGAATTCATCTTATTTTTCAGATTTCACTGTTKTCGTTTTTTTCTTAAATTTAATACAGAATTTCTGATTCACTTTGTAATCGTTTCTTTTAAATGAAATCGATGTTTGTAGGTAATCAGTTTTACGCTTTGCAATTAACTTTCGAGAAAAAAAATTAATAAAAACAATAATAGACCTTTAAAATCCTTTTGTTTTTACCAATAAGTTAATRAATATAGAGAATTTTCATACATAGATTCGATTTCCGCGCCTTTGCGTGTAAAATCTAAAATATTATCGAAATTCGATATATGGTTATATTTCAGTTCTATATTTAGAAACTCGTTGGTAAACAATTATTTCCGTGACATTCTAGCTATACGTAGCGTCGATTTATTATCTTTTACATGTGGGAGCCAAAGAATTCACGAATTTGAAGGCAATTACCATTACTTCTAAAGAATAATAGTTTTGATAGCTTTTGAAATTATTTGGATTGTTCATTTTCTTTCTGAATTATACTCGAATCGTTAGAACAATAAAGCGATATTGCTCAGCAGTTTTTACAACGTGGGGGTCGCATGTATCGCAGTTTCTAAGATTACTAATGCTTTGTGCCTTTATTTCTTTGCTAATCATTGCTAAAATAATTCGAGAAACCACGATATTTCTGAAATTTCTTAACTCTCTTGGAATGAAAGAAATTAATCCCCCAGAAGAAAGGAATTCGAGGCCGGAAAATGTAGCTAGTTTTGACAGCTMTGTTGTCTTGAACCGCGTGGTTGTGCTATTTTCCCTCCAGGGCATGTAGCTATTTTATCCTATTACTTCTGAGCGATACTTCAAGGAGCCTTATATTCCATGCGAGCCAATATTTACTAAGGATTCTTTTTGTTAAAATCGTTTTTTTTTTTTTTCCTTATTTTGATTCATCGCAAAACAACTTCATTGTGCATATAAAATATAATTAATTAAAAATATGAAAAAGGTACAATTGAAACCTATATGTACACATGGAGTATTCATATACTTATAATGTAGGTGACAACAGCTTATATCTCCAACGTCATTGGCACAAATTTGACACTCATAAAGACACACACTAGCATTTTGCAAACTYATGCTCTTCTTATATTTTTTCATTCAATCTCTTGAGCATGTGAAAAAGTTACTCTACTGTACACTCAAAATGCTTTGAGCTGTCCTTATGTTATGAAATTYCATCAAATTTGCCCAAGCATTTCTTTCAATTTAGGCAGGGACAGGAACCTCACACCTCACCTAACCTCTTGGTGCCAGGTTGATCAAAAGGCCTCACAATGCAGGGCTGGAACTCACGTTATATTATAACCACCTCTATAAGAGTATACGGTTGATTTATGAGTGTGATGAATCAAAGGTGATCGGAACTAAAGAATGCATATTTTGGTTCATTATATAACATACGTGCAAGGGTAATTCTGTTTGAGAGATATAGTACAGACACCAAGATCATTGGAAGAGAACAAAAGTAACATTAGAGAAAGTGGCTGGAATCATGACATATCACAAGCAATAGCCATTCTAAAGCAAAACAGAGACAGTGGTGAAAGTTTACCACCAAATTTATCTACCATTAGTGAAGCATGCACATGATAACAGAACTTAGCTTGTGAAGACTATGTAATTTCGCACATATCAGTTTTGACAAGGAATGCCATTGTAATGCCTGGAAATGGGCRCTTATTACGGAAAGCTAGAAAACTATGTTCCTTATCGTTGAAGAAATATTTAGTACATAATAGTACACTTTGTTTGTTACGTAACTATCACTCCATCATTCTACTTTATTGGTCATAAATTCGAGGAGTAATGTTTATAGCCTAAGGCATAAGCATTGTTTCCTAAGTGAAAGCAATCCCCTATACTGTACTTGCAATATTGTTAACTACTGACCAGAACTAATGGCAGTAAGTTCCCTGTAATTATATATCAGCCAATCCAATTAACCTAATTCGGGTTTCACRAGGCATATGGAAAAATAATAATTGTATGACTTGGTTTGAATGAAATTGTCAGAATTACCTAAAAATTTTCATTCTRCATGGATGATGAAACAAAATATTAAAATTTTAAATAAGCATAAGCTGGTATTCATAACTAGGAAATTGTTTGGTAGAGCATAATGTTTGTCATTTTTTAGTTGGCAAATTGTTTTGGATTTTTTTCAAAAAAAAAATCACACACACACAACAATAAAAGATCTAGAAGTCTGAGTTGCATGAAAAAAACAGTATTTTTGAGATTTTGCCAATTTTCCAAATTGCTGATGTAATGAGACATCATTTTCTTTMTCTTGGGACAATTTTATAGCTGGATTTTAATAGAATTTTTCCCRTTTGACAAAATTTGGCTGACAGCACATGGTGGTCAGTTTTTAATTGACCACCATTTGGAGCAGATAACAAGACTCTAAGTTTTTTATCAGCTGATTGAAATGTGGCAATAATTAATAACATCTTACAGCTGCTTATCATGAAATACTGTTTAAAACCACCATTTTCTAGCTGTAGGTGGCTCTTATCATCATCATCATTCATTATCAGTATGTCCATTGTCATCATCATCATTCATCATCAAATACGGGAGGCATTGCCACATTTAAATACAACACATTACTGATATGATGAGCATCATCAATCGGCTACCTTCTCATACTGAACACATATTACATTGACCATAGTATGAGTTCACACTAAATTTCTTTATAAATATTAATAATATTAGTATATGTAATAGGACTCCATGCTGTCCAGAGAATAAGAAATAATTGGACGTGGAAAATTCTGAGGACTGACAAAATTGTATGAGGCCGTAGGCCGAGTCCAATTTGGAAGTCAAAGGATTTTTTTGAGTCTAATTATTTCTTGATTGGGGAGCATAAAATCCCTTTACCTATTAATTATATAGCTGCCTAATTAATCCCATATCAACAAGACCTGTCCAATTAAGAAAATAATTGGACAGTTACCTATATGGGATTAATGAGAAGCTGTATAATTAAATATTATTAACTTATTATTTTTTATAGCATTTTATTTTTTTATAAAGTGTACCTGGCAATGAATAAATGCAATAATGGTTCATTTTTCAGGCTTGGAAAAGAAAATGGTTTGTTTTAAGAAGAAGATCCAAGCGAGGGAAAACCCRACTTGAGTATTACCACAGTGAAAAAGCCTGCACAGACGGCAAACACAGGACAGTCATTCCATTAGATGGAGTCACAAGTATTAATCATGCTCACTCGAGGACTCATGAATATGCTTTTCATGTTGCGGCACATGAAGTGAAGTTATTTTTGTGTGGATATAATGAACTCAACACACATGAATGGGTTAGACTTATAAAGGAACTGGTATTACCTGAACCTAAGATGTTCCCTTCGGTACCAGGAGGAGATATATATGGTATGTATACCACAAATTAATAATGTGTAGCTCCAGAAATTATCCATACCCCCCTCACGGAGCAATTTTTTGAAGAYGCTGAAATTCCCTGAAATTCCAATTTTCTTCCATACAAACTCTATAATTTCTGTTGTTCTTTCTCAGACCCCCCAACCCCTTGGAAATTCCAAATTCCTCTATTGGATGGGTATGGATAATTTGTTCTTTCTCTGACCCCCCAACCCCTTGGAAATTCCAAATTCCTCTATTGGATGGGTATGGATAATTTCATATTGGTGTACCAATCAACAGCATCTCCTGCACAATTTTTGATTTAAGACAGAGTTCAATTCTACGAGTTTAATACAACATGTATTGTTTTGGTACACCAACATGGTTGCTGTGACCTCACATGAAAACACTATTGTACAAAATTTAACCAGCAAATCTGGTGCATGTTTAATAACTTGAAAATTCTACTTTTGTTGCAGGTCTTTATGAAATATCTGTTATACAAACTTCAGACTCAGAAAAAATTGGTTTATCAGGGGATTATCTCATCACAGTTAGAAAAGAATACTTATGTCTACACAGCATGAAAACAGGGTCAGAAGTTATGCAGTGGGAGTTGGAATATCTGCCTAGCTTTAGACTACAAAGATTGTCTCATTTACAGGATATTGATAAAGTTCTTGTCATAAAAGCTGCAAGGTTAGTAAACCTCCTATTACTGTAGATTTATAAGCCATTCTGAGGTTGAGGAGAAAACTGGGTGGAGTTGGCATTTTGGGGCTGTTATAGAGAATGAAATAGGCCCCATCTTGAAAATGTGTCTCCTAAGTTGACCCAGTATTTTCTTCAACCTCGGAATGTTTAATAGAGCTACATGTATGATAAGCATAATGTCATTTGTATGAAAAAAGAGTCACAAGAGCCTGCAAATGCACAGCCTCTCACTATTGTRGTCTTGGGTTCAATTGCCAGGCTTGACGTATTCCCTGTGCTTCGAGGGTTTTTTATCTGGATTTTCCAGTTTTCCTCCCCCCACAAAAATCAACGTCTAGATTCAGATTTGATCATGGGATGAGGGCTACAGGTTTGTTAGCCAATGTTTATCAAGTGTTACCCTCATGCATAAGGACGATTTATTTTTCATCTATTTGATGACAAAAATAAAATGCCATTCAGCAGGGTCTTTTTTCTCATATACCATGTTTTCTTGAAATTTCTGCTTGCATAAGAAAGGATAAGTGTAACTAAGAAAGATAATCCCTTTTTGTTCATAATAATATCGGTAATAAAGTAATGAATAATTATTAATTAAAACATATGGCATTATTATCTGCAGCAACTGTAAAAGTGGAGAAGGAGAATTTCACTTTCTAACGCGTCAAGGACGAGAAATACTCGAATGTGTGAAATGCCAAACCCAAAGACTCTTTTCCTTACGCMGTATAAACATGCACAAACAAACACATGTGAGACGACAATCTGTGGACTCAGTGCCTAATACACGCTCATCCGGCAATGAAACAAATGACAGTTTAACAAGTACGGCATCATGTTGTGAGACAGAATCTAGAGAACGGTCTATTAGCATGTCAAGCCATCCCTCAAGTCAATCAGGCAACCCTTCTTCAGGCAAGCACTCACCAAGGCAGGACTCATCAGAACAGCAATCACCTAACAGTTCACCTACGAAGCTGACACCTAAGCAACAATCACCAGGGCAACCTTTGACTGGGAAAATTTTCGGTGACCAGAAAAGAGAACTTAAAAAAGAAAGTGGAAAGCCATTATTGTGCACTCCAACGTAACTATAATTATGTTGGTTTTCAAGCTACTTTTTGGCGTTGGCTTGGATTCGTTGTTTCGTTTGTTTGTTGTTGTTTTTTTTGCAAGCATTTGTTTATTTGTTGCTCAGTTGGATTTATTTTCCTATGTGCTTTTTTGTGGTAAATCAAAAAATTGGTTTCCTAGCAACAGAAGATTTATTTATAATGATGTGAATACACATGTACTATAATTATTATCAAAAGAAATATAGAGATATAGAAATTTTGCTATTTTTTTATAAAATGATACCTGACACACGTTTGGGAATATATACTTCATCTCGCCTTCTTGAGTTATATAAATGAGGAAAATATCCTCCAGTTAATGTTAGATCAAGATTTTTCATTTCATGGCATTACCACAGAACTTTAGGGATCTTTACAAGTAAATTTAAAGCAATCTATCTTTGGATTCACCTCCTTAATGAACAAAATGCCTGCTCTAATATTGAATCCACAATACAAAAGGGAATTTGTATGTGTTAGATACTGCCAGTAATGGTAAGGATTATTGAGTAGTTACTGGTTAGGATTACATGTAGTTAGGTATGTTGAATACAACAAGTCAATATGAAGGAAACTAAAACACCATATGAAAATTTTAAAAATCTCTTTTTATAAATCATGAATGTGTTTTAACAGTGGCATTTCCACAGAGTGGCTTTTCATCCACCGAATTCCACTTTTTTACTCAATAAAGGACTAAGGTCTCTATGTACAGTTACAAACTTTTTACTCAGTGTTAAGTTTCCTTCTTATTAACTTGTTATACATAATGCGGTTTGCTGTGTTTTTTTCAAAGRAATAATATTAAAGAGGAAAATTTCAGATCTAAAATAAAAATATATATTTAAGAAACTACTGTTGGTCTCTGCTAATTTATTAAATGATTATTGATTAAGACATAGAAAAAGGAATATGGAATCAAAGATGTAGYAGTAGTGCACTCACYKCTCACCTATTGGGTCTCAGTTTCAGGGTCTAGGGTTCTATTTCTGAACTTGTCATCATACAGCAGATGTCTCTTTGTTTTTCTATGGTTTTCCTCCCTCTTCAAAACCTAACAGCTAAATTCCAATTTGATCYGTAAGTTAGCCATGCCCTGACCTAGATGACCTTTGATCAGCGGTCATTTCATGGTATCAATAAAATCTAAAGGCRTTTCTTTTTTACAAAAAATTAATGAAATGCTTTTTTTATTCACAACAGGTGATGTTATTCTTTTCCTCTCACCCCTCTAATTGTTCTAGCCCTCCTCTTTTACACTCATTAAGAAATTCCTGACCCTCCTATTAAGTTAACCCCTTCTCTAGCTTTTGTCAAAATAAAAAAGGTTTGACCCTTCACAAAAGTTTATTTTTTTAGTAATGGCCCTCCACTCTCAAACCCAACCCCTTCCCCTCCCTCCCTATAAAAGACGTACTTTCCCCTCTTTTTGACACAACTGCTTGTTTTAAGGGGGTAGGGTCACATGACCTGGAAATGCAAAAGGCCTATCTATTCCAATTCAATCTGTAAGTTAGCCCTCATCTGAATTAGATCAGTCAACAGWTTATTTCAGGGCCTCATAAATTTGAGACACCCTTAGGACCTTGCTACTTGCTTGCTAGATTAGTCTCCTACTCAGCCACTATTAGTGTCGTCATGCCACACCCAATCCCCTAAGTAGTACTTAGAAGTATTTTGTGGAATGAGAGTTGTGACRACACTAATAGCAGATGGTGTTTGATTATCAGAGTTGTCAGCAGAATAGACCTTATTCGTAGTGTGACAATGTTTTCCCAATTCAGCGTGACAAACCTCTGGRGGAAKGAAGAGCTATTTTTTTGAAACTGGTCGGGATATCGTTATTCCTTTCGTATCCTTTGGGATACTCATGAATTTTTTAAGAGTAAAAACAAAAGAAAATGAATCCCCTAGAGGTTCTTCACACTGAATTGGGAAAACATTGTCACACCACGAATAAGGTCTACTGAGGTTTCTATTACCATCAATTTATGAGGCTCTGCAATAGTTTGCAGCTGTCCGTCCAATAAAGGGTGTGTATGACTGAATCATTACTAATGCAATGTATGTACGATTGAACTTTAAGAAAGAGGACACCATCCATCTCACCCTGAGTCCCTTCCATTCCCTATTTTTAATCACCGGGATAATAGTAATACAGTCGTTTGCAACTAAGCGTGAACACTAGACACTAAAACATGTTCTAACTGGCGGCCGAAACGTTGAAGTTAGTCAACCGGAACGCGTATGTTTCGYAATGATTCGTTGGACGGTTGGGCGCGCAAATTCCTCCAGGTACTTCAATCTCGAAAGAATCAAAATCGTTTTCTCTCCAGTACTTCATGCTTTTGTTTGAAGTAAAGCCTTTTTTTGAAAATGTGAAGAATACTGAAGGAGATCAGGATCGATCTCTTCTAGAAACTCGCTTATGTCTACTCTTTCGAAGGAATCCATGACCAACGCCAACAGATCAACGTGCACGCGTATTTGAGCAAACGTTGCCATCAGGCTGGCACTTTGGCGCCAAACCTCAACGTTCCGGTTGACTAACTTCAACGTTTCGGCCGTCAGTTAGAACATGTTTTAGTGTCTGATGTTCWCGCTTAGTTGCAAACGACTGTAGCCCAATAAAAATTGATATGCTGAGATATCAAATTAGTACTTATTTTTCAACAGAATAATTTTGTGTGAAATACTATTTCAGTACACCGAAACGGAAGCCACAACAAAAAGGAACCAAATTGGGCTGCCTGTTTATGAACTACAGTATGTCACAATTTTGCGTTCAATGAATAGTTCACGAAAATGCTGTTACTCTGAACATGTACAATTGAGCTTAATCTCATAGCTCCTAACTTCCCCAACAAGTAGACCTTTGGGTTATTTTGGAATATATAGGCGAATAAATTCATAATTCACCAGAAGAAACAAAACGGCCAAACCCTGACAAGAACTCATATTAAACTTACTTACTTTGTGTTAAAAATGCTGCGTYATTCGGTCCACAAATGCCAAGCTACAGTAGATAACGGTGCCTTATATGCTTATAAAGAACTTACGGTAGTTTTAAGCCAGTATTTTAGTAGTAAAAAGCCAGCAAATAAAGGTTTTCAGGAAGTTGTGAGATAAAKACACACCGAGGAGTTTTAAACTTGCGCGGGCTTTTCCCATCCTGCGCATAAAGTTATTGACACACCGCTGGCAAGAAAGGCGGTGGATTCGAACTGATTGTGACAGCGCAAGGGATGATGGGTGATAGTATATAAGGTCTTACGTTTGTTTGTTTACTTGTTTGTTTGTTTGTTTGTTGTTTTGTTTGTTTGTTTGTCCTATTTACGAAATGAATCCGCGGAGAGTTTCAAACTGCTGCATCTTTAGTATCCACACGACCGTCAAGACCTTGCCCCAGTATTAAATTRAACCTTGGGCCCGCCGGCACTCACCTTCAGCGCGCTTTTCACCTTGCGTCCAAACTTAAACGATCGAAAACGCGGAGACATTAGAAAACGGAAGCCTAGAGCTATAGCCAGTTTGGACAAGGGAAAACGAAAGCTTTTGACGTCCTTCACACAGGCACGTCTTTTTTCCGCATTCGCCGATGAGTTTTACCGCTAAAGAGGAAAAGGAAGTGAAAAAAAAAACATTCAATACAAAGACAATACGAATGGAAAAAGAAAGTAGAAAAAAGAAAAAAGAAAGTGTGCGAGAAAAAGAAAATAAAGAAATCGAAACCCAACTAAATCAATTCGAAATTTCCATTTATTTCTAATTCTCTTTTCATTAAAGTGCCTACACCACCTAACTCAATATTTTCAGTATTGATTCTACATAAAGTGAGTATTTGAATGGTAAAAAATATCAAAAAAAGATATCAAAGTTTATATTTCCAACATGCAAATAAGTGTGATGTCATTCTAGGCAAGATTAAATATACAAACTTTTCTGGGGCAGACTCATGGTTTATAGAAAACTACTAGCAATTTTTTTTTTCTCAGTTATCAGTGTTGCAATTTAAAAGCGATGAGAAGCAAACTCAAATTCCTATAATGACATCACACTCATTAACATATTGGATGTATAAACCTTGATATCTTCAAGATTCATCACTCAAAYCATATGAAAATCTTTTACCGTTCAACTATCCACTTCACGTAGGATCAATACTTAAAATATTAAGTGAGGTGGTATAGGCACTTTAATATACTCATTTCTCAACATTCTCTTTACAGTTACATAAATTTCAGCATTAATATACTAAGCAGCTAATCTTGCAACAAAGCAGAAACAGACCTAATAAAGAACCTGTTCTGAGAATAAATAAATGAGAACACATAAAGTAAAGAAACCTTTTCAGAAAGACACTGGTGAAAACATTAACTGTTCGGGGAATGAAGGAGCAAATCGTTAAATATTGCAGATTTAGCAGAGGTCTCTTTCTGCCCTCTGCCTGCCTTCCGTTTTGGCTTGGTGGAGCTAGGCATTCACCAGTGTCATCCAGATTTTACATTCTCTCGACTGAACATTGGTCGGGAAAAACAGTTTCAAGTCAAACAAYTATGCCTAATTTACGGACATTAACTAGGCATGCATAGATGACTATACTGTTGGGGGCAAGTATCTTATTTTTCTTGCTAAAAGACCCCCAAAACAAGAGTAAGCCATAACAGTATAGTCACCCTAMCTTCATATAAACGGTTCTTAGACACCACTTTACATTCCCCATAGTACATTGTGGTTTGGGAGGTAAGCAGGAAAAAAATCGCAAATATTATGCTGAAGACTGACATTATGGAGAATGCAAATGTGGTGAAGATTGAATTTCATTGCTAGGAATTATATTACTTATTTAAAATCGGCATAAGCTTTAACGGCATTACTAGAAAAAACAAGATTACTTCACGAACCCTGTAATCTTACCCAGACCTCTACTTGAGCTCGTATTCCTCTGGCCGAGAAACGAGAGGCCTGAGAACTGAATTGAAAAACCCTAATATACTTTCTTTCATACGATACTTTTTTGTCTATAACTTTTAAATATTTTCTATCAAAGTCAATGCTTTTTTTAACCACTTTTTTATGCTATACTCTCAAATAAGCTATGAAATRTCGTTTTCTTTGTATACAAATTTCTGATAATGTACGTCAGGCAATGGATCAATGGACAAGAGGGGGGAAAAACAAGAAACTTAACAAAACATATCAGAGAGTTTTCATTGCTTACCACCGTTTTCTGTAACACGCCCGGAATTTTAAAGTTYCATTGTGTCAAAGTAGAAGAAAGTATTTAACTTATACGAAAAACTATTAAGGATTRCACCTGCCCTTTCTCCCACTGTATTGATGAGCTATGAAAACTCCCTTCTTTTAAAGGTGCCATTTTCTAGCCATGATGATTTTGGAATCCACTGCACTTTCACCGAACCTCTAACGTAAAGTAAAAGGACGCGGATAAGAGCGCTTTCGTCTTGATCAAAAGCACATTCAAGTAACAATATTGTCGATATGATTATAGTTCATCTAAACAAAGACTTCTTGGTTTCTTGTTTTTTCCTTCAAAACAACCTTCATCCTCACCGAAGGTTCAAGCAACGATTCCGCATCCTTTGTCTTGATTACTCTTTTTCACTGAAAGATTTATTCATCATGTCTTGCAAAGACGCTGTCTCTTCCATTTGTTACTTATATTATATGCTGAAGTTGAGTCACCTGACCAGTAAGTGAAAACCAACGTCTTTCGCTACTGACAAAACRAAATGTTTCAGACCATTTTGAAGTGAGTACTCTCTTTCAAGCATGGTTTGTGGAAACGTGCTCGCTATTTGGTAACGTCTTTCGGTACTAACATAACATTTTAACGATAATACTCTCTTTCAAGTASATTCCAATACTGATTTTTGGAAACTTGTTCGCATTTAAGGCAACCCCATTGAAGGACATGGCAGATTCCCTTYGTTTTCATCCTTGTTGTATGGCAGGTTTCCATAGCAACATATCGTAATTTTCACTTTATATGACGATGCAGCGCCAACGAAGTTGGACCACAAAGACGAATCATAAAGGATAATCCAATAGACTCAAATTCAAGTCAATGCGGCATCCATTTTAAAACACGTGTGTCACCATCATGTCTATTCATATCCAGTTTCAATGCTATTAAAACATCACAAAGTTCAGTTGTGGACGTGTASCATATTGATGTTGAGTTATCCATAGTATCGCATCGTCCATGTCAAATTCTGACACAGCTCAAACAATATGGCTTCTCCAAAGATTAACAAGAGCTAATAAGTTTTAATAGACGATCAGCTTTGATTGACAGCTCCAGTGGTGGGTTTCGACTTGGATTTGATCGCTTGTCTCTGCATTTGGATTTGCTTTAGAAGCAAGCTTGGCTTATCACCGTTGTCTTCCTGGGCATCTTCATTTGCCTGTTCTTCTTTCAACAGTGAAGCAAACCTCTCAGGACAGGGTGGTGGTACTGAAGACTTTCTTACAGGAGGCATGGGAGCACTCCTGCTTCGTGCTGCGTGGCTAGCCAATACTGCTAGTTGGGCTGCCTGTGCCGCACTCGGCCGTCCAGATACACTTTGACTTCTATTGAAGGCGCTTCGTTGTTTTGGGGGTGAAGTGGAGGTTGGGGCCGAGTTTTCCTGGTGCCATTCCGGATGTGGGTGCCCTTGACCAAAGTACCCCGAGTCACTAGATACGATGCTTGTGACGTCACTTCCGCCGGAATAATAGCTGCTCTGCGAGGACGCCTCGCTATCACTTTTACGATGCACCCTCCCCTGTAGGTTAGAAGAGGCAGACTCACTCATGCATCGATTTCGTGATGACGTCGCGAAGGGCGTGGCATACTGGTGTCCGGAGATGGTGGTCTCTTCTGGAGGGTACTCTGGAACGGTAGGGCAGTAGACCTGACCCATTGATGTTGATGGAGATCTCTCGCCTGATGATGACGAACAGCAGCCAGAATCTGCCGTCATCCAAGATGAACGATCATTCTGAGGATGACCAGCTGTAGACAATATAAATATTAATTAGCCATCAGTAAATGTAATGCCTACGGTGTGGACACTAGAGTGCATACCATAGATCCATGAAAAAGCTTTGTAAGAAATTTCACAAATTTGCACAAATTAGTAAGTTCAGTAGACGTCAGTTGACAGTAGACCTACATAACTTTGCACTAATTTGTACAATTTGTTAGTTAACTTTTTCACGAATATATGGTATGCACTCTTAAGTTAACAAATCACGATGTCAGTTTATTGAGTGCTGTAGCCAATCAGGAGAGCAGAAATGAAACGTCACCCAGTCCCACAAATAACCTTTTATACAAAACTTTTAAAAGGCCTTAACCTTCAAGACTTGAATAAATAAGATATGAAAACGTTACCTTGATCTTGGGCAACAGGCACTYCAGGGAAAGGTGGAGGAGGAAGATGATCCACAGATCCTGCTGCATGCTGGGCCGGTAAAGGTGGCGGTGGGTGGGGCAGTGACTCTGTCGACGGTGACCCAAGCGATGAACCGAGAGAAGACATCGATGAATACGACGAATTGGAGGAAATACTAAAACTAGATGACCTCATGCTGGTATGGTGCTTCTTGGGAGACGCCTGTGGAGTTGCGGGAATAAGCTTTGGACGTTGAACCCTTCCCTTATTACTTGAGTGTTTGGCCGAGAAAGAATAGTGACGACTAAACGCATCRTAATAGGCATCCTTTTCTGAGGGGGGAGGGGGAGGTGGAGTTGTCGGTGGATCTCGGATGTTGCTGTGGACTGGACTAGTAGATAGTTGGAGCGCTGTTGGATGGGCGGGAGTACGTACTGCGGAGTTCGTGGGGCTTGGTGGAGGCGTCTATAAAAAAGAGAAACGTATTAAAGAGGTTCAAGATTTAGAACGTTTATCATAATAATGATAAATTTAAGTAAACTTCGAATTCTTATACTTCTATTTGTTCTATTTGATGTTGAAATAGAAAGGTTATATGAGTGGGAAACCATACRGCAAATTCGTATGTAACCGTATCGTATCTTGCCGTAACCGTAACTTTGCCGTAACTGTGCCGCGAGTCAGTACCGTATGTTTCCGCACTGCGAAAGCTGCTTCAAACGAACAATGTATTCCGCAACAATGTTGGTTTGAATGGACCCCTCTCAAAATTGTCTACAATACAAGGCTAACATGTAAATACAATAGCAATCACATTTTTTCTTCGTGGAATTAGAAGCACTTCTTAGAAGTATTTCCATGTTAGCCTCGCATTTAAGACTATTTTAAGAATGAAAGCGAAAGATTTGGCATTACATGTTAGAATTACATAACGTAACATTTTGCCTAAAAGAATACAAGCTGTACCGTGACGAGACCTTCATCAARTAAGAGGAAGCCGTATCATACGCTTCTAAGGAAACAGTTTCTCAAGACCATACCCATACCTGTTCATCGTCCCAGGACCCTGAGGAKTGGTCTGACAGACGTAGGTTTCGTACCAGGTCCTCGCCGACCACGGGAAGAGCAGCAGGATTATAGGTCTGTTTCACGATGTCTGCCAACAGAGACTCCAGGTGCTCAATTTCACTTAGCATGGATACCTCTTGCTCCTGTACAACACGACACAACAACAAATGATAAGCGTAGACCAAACGACAATTATAATTAGCACAGGAGACTATAACGATATGAGCAATAAGCATGAGGCAAGTTTTCATTGCTGAATGTATAACAGCATGAAGTCAGTTTAGGAGCAACTTAGCGAGATGATTTTTCTCGACAAAATGCCGGTAAGGACGTCCAACATTTAACATTTTTCTCCTAAACCAATTAAGTAAACTCAGCACCTGGGCTCGGTTGTACGAACGGTGGATAGCGCTATCCGAAGGATAAATCTTATCCAATGGATAAATTCATTGGATAACAGCATCTACTTATCCACTGGATAAGGAGTTATCCTATTCCATCGGATAGCGCTATCCACCTTTCGTACAACCGGGCCCTGAATCATAAGACAGGCAGTCAAAATTTTGATATCCAACCACGGTTTACATATTTTTGTCTTAGCTAGTAGCTTCACTCCAAACAGAAAGCCAATAGGGCTTTTATGGTCACTTGTTCTAACTTTTACGCCGTTCATTTTATATCAGCCCAAAGCATAGCTTTTCGAGTTGAACGAAGGTGTATAAACCTTTACGGAGATAGTGAACATTGCATTCTGGTCTAGCTTAGGTACAAATAACATCATATAAGCCATGGCGAACAACAGAAGTCAGTACAGAATGCACAATGTTCATTATCTCAGAAAAAGGTTGAAGTAGTACGTGTATACTCACCACAACAGTCTTGACACAGGATGCCATGGTACAGTATCGTGAACGCTCCTCTATCAACACCTTCCTCAAGTACTTCCTTTCCTGGTCTTCAAATGCTGCCAGTTGGATATTGGCTTGCTGTAGAGACATAGAATATATTGAACAGTGTACACAAGGGTCAAGAGAACTGATTCGCCTYGGTGGAATGTTTTTCCATTTCAGTCCACGTGTTATTTTCTAGAGTATTATTGCTTTGTTTAACGGTTGTGCATAATAAGACACATGGATATGGATACAACTCAAAGAAAAAAATCTTATTTTCAAGAGAATAACATGCGGTCTGAAATGGGTAAAAATTGCACAAATACGAATTAGTAGTTTATACTAGCAGCTCAATGTACAATGACATACCAGCACCATAGTGCAATATAAGAAAATGTCAATGAAAACACAGAATGTTATGGTACTCTTCTGTTACCTTAACAGCTGCGTCCAGGCGTTCCTGATTTTCTGTTTTGCCTGCAAAGCAGGAAATATAGTATTCATCAATAGGAAAATATTATTACAAGTAGAACAACTTTTGATAATACCTTTTTTAACTTTCTTCTGCCATTTTATAGTCTCAGCTGTGATCTTCTTCATTTCTTGCTTGCACTTTTTGTATTCTGAAAAAAAGGAAAAATCTCATTCATTTTAAATTTCRTTAAATAAGAATCTGGGGAAAAGGAGAAGGGGAGTTTCTGGAGACTATTCTCATTTGGATAATAACATTCATTGAATACTTATAGAATCCTGGATTCAAACCCTTCAATTTATTCAATTTTTTCTTACCTGATGTCATCCACCACCAACAACAGTCTTTCTTAAGACTACTCTCACCCAGAACATCACACTCAACACTCATCATACAATGCTGGGCTCAAACCAGTTTATTCAATCCTCTCTCTTACCTGATGTCAGTCACCACCACTACCTTTTTTTTTTTTTTTACACCTGGACAATTACATTCACTACTTATTAAAAATATAACTGTATTCAATTCACTTTCTTGAATGATGTCAGTCACCACCACCACTACTCACACCTGGAYGATCAGAACACTCATTATACTGCTAGTCCTCAGGGTTCATACCCTTTAMTTTACTAATCCTCTCTCTTGCTGGATGTCAGTCATCACTAACAATACTCTCTTTGAAGATCATACCAACCTCAGGGTTCAAACCCTTCACTATATTTAATCCTCTCTCTCGCATGACATCAATCACTGCTAATAACACTCTTTCTGAAGATCATACCAACCTCAGGGTTCAACCCCTTTACTTTATTTACAGTTATCCTCTCTATTTAAAACCGGTTCTTAAAACCTAATCTGAGTCACCACCAAAACCAGTTTGTAATACCTTTAGTATGGTCTCTATCCAATTGATTAACTCCTCTCTTCCATTCATCCAGACTGGATTGTAAAGGACTTATTAAGGAATCATAGAGTAACCTGGTGAAAAAAAAACTATTTAAAACTGCAGCCTTGAAATAATGTTCATTTTTTATCAACACCCTGAAACAGTATCTGGGCTGATCAATGTCAAGGCAAGGCTAACTCACAAATTGAATTGGGCTTAATTTAGCTTAGGTTTTGCAGAGGGAGAAATCTGGAGAACCCATATGCCAAGATATAATGAAAACAAGTATCAGCTGCTTCTCCAGGACTGAAATAAATGAAATTCTCTCAAAACTAGCCAGTTTGTAAAATGGATTAACTTATTTTACAGATACACAAGTCATCTTACCCTATCAATGCCTTGAGTTTTCCCTCAATACATTTATGTCTCAGCACCATCTTGGTCAAGGAGGCACCAATGTCCCTTGATGAGCCTAAAAATAATAATTTGTGTGTTAASAAACATTTTCAAAAAGCAAGTCATAATACTTATTCAAAATTGTGGCTGTAACTCGTCATCAAATCCAGACACTCTTAAGCTTTATAAATAATTAATGTCATTTAATGGTTATTTAGTGGGTGTAAATTATACATTAAAAAATGGCATTGCCTTAGAAAACACTCAATTTCATTTCAAAACGATTCATTTAAAAAAAATCAAGACTCAATCCACTTGCATCAAACAATATTAGGGCTAGCTGTCAAAATACTGAAGGTTATTAAAAATGCTTAGGACCTGATAGATGCCTAAATACCCTAACATGTAACAAGCAGTTGTGTCAACATGACCAACAGAAATAAAAAGAACCCCTAAATATTAGCAACAAAAAAAAATCAATTTGTCAACTACATGAGAAACTGCATTGAATATAAATAATTATAACATAGCTAACGCGAGCTATGTTATAGATATTTCTTTGGTGAAGATGTTTTTACACTTTTGCTATGTTATAAAAGACCTATTTGGTCATTGATTAGCATGCTTTCATCAAGTTTTGAGTGCACATGGAGGAAATGGGAAATTCCCAGGGGGTGGTGGGTCAGACGAAGAACAAATTTACAACATTTGTATGGAAGAAAATGGAAAATTCCAGAGGGGTGGGGGATCGTTTTTAAAAATTTCCTCCATGGTGGGTTTTGAATTTTTTTTGCAAGTACAGAACAGTGCAAACGTCAGACTGTCAACTCCTTTACATATTCCTGTTATTCAGTTACAGTATCCCATTTTCTTTCAATATTCTATTTCCCAGTAACATCCAGTGGGGTCTCGCAACTCCATAAGATTTTTTTAAACTCTTATCATTATGGATAGCTAATATGGATTATAGTCTTAATGGAAGAAAAGAGGCTAATAAAACTGGATCATGTTACTTAATACAATATAAGTAAAACAATATCATGACATAATCCATGTAATTTGACACACACTTCTCCTATTAGATACTGATCCTAAAGCCATGTGCTTTGTTGGTCAATCTCTTCTGTGCTTAAAGTTTTTTTCCCCCACATGTTTTTTGTGTTTTCAAAATTCAATTAAATTCCAAATATTTTGAATGATTTGATCACGAAATGAGGGTCAAAGGTTTGTTTGCCATTGACTATTAGTGAAAACTAGGGAAAATTAATTATTCTTAAAATTCAGACATATTTTTCCAAAAAGTAGCCTTAAATCTAAACTAAAAAATAATATTAAAAATAGCGAACACATACTATAAAGCTGCAGAGCGAGAAGGAAAAYAATAATTTTTTTCAAGAACATTTTTTTATCTCTTGGTTTCTTAATGAGTTATTTCACTATTTGTTTTTGTGAATGTTTACACATTGAACAAAGTAGGTTTAAAGTATGATACAATTTAATGAGATATTCTTAATGATGATGTAATCCAATGACTCGGTCTTTAAGAGGAGAAAAAAAAGCATTAGGTAAAGTAAACAGGATTACTAGTTATCAGGCTATATGAGCAAGATAATGCCAGAGAAGTAAGATTTTAGTTCCAGATGAAAAAATATTAAAATTCATGAGGGATACTTTATTTTAGCTGCTTTAAGTAGCCTGTTTTCTATTTGTGGTCAGCGTGTTTTTGTACTCTGTTGCATTCTTGTTTTAAGGATGGAATAAATTAAAAACAAAGTCTAACAGAAACAGCAAATCAACACTATTATAGACCAAATAAACAACAGAAAAAGCATGTAAACTGYAGCAAGAAACCCAAAGAATTTCAAAACACAATAAAGACAAAAAAGCTAATAATTGAGAACCAAGTTTTAGTTCTTGCAATCTGTGTAACATTATATGTATATCAAAACATTGCCTTCACTGTACTGATAAGAGTCAATTAAACCCCCAAAAAACTCCATTTATATGTATAGTCTGATTATGTGCTAAGTAGGGGGTACAATATCTGTTTCCTGTGACTCATTTAGGATAAACATATCCACAGTAAACAAGAATTCCCTCCAACAGAGATCCAAGATAGTATGTGCATTACTCAACTTAGGGATTTWAGACAGCATGAGTAAAGTCTGTTACTGCACAGTTGTATTTTTAAGGTCCTTGTGACCTTTGGACACCAYAGAAGAAGATAACTTTGGAGGTATGAATCTTTTACTGGGACTAATCCAACAACCTTCCAACAGACAATTATGTCTAGACATTTAAAATTAAAATGTAAAGGATGTCTTTTAGAATAAGAGAAATCTATATTCAACAAAAGAAAAATACAATATTCAATAAAAAGAAAACATATAACTCTGTTTTTGAGGAAAATGAGRCATGATAGAGAGAAAGCTTTCAACAAACCACTTTAAAGATAAGAATGATATAGAGAATGAGTTATTGATCAAAATTTAAAGTGTCTTGGGGGAAAATACTGATAAAAGAAAACCCTAACTTTAAATAGATGGAAATAATCATGATGTTGTTGAAGAAGTCTTTAAAAAAAATAGAGAGAAACTTTTTTTTATCCATCATGTTCATATTTTTAAAACTGATTACAACTGAAGTTGTAAGGTCAAAAATATAGTCRACAATGGACAATATCTCTTTACTGAATACATACAACTACTAGTAATACTTATTAGTCTATCAGACATTAGTTCCTTCAAAATCATTCCCACGCATGGAGCAAAGCATTTCTGACCATGACCTTCCATGAAAGAGAAGGATTGTACAACAGCAATACCATGATAGTACTCTAAGTTCAATCATATTGGGACACACATTTAGCTTATCAGAAACGCTGATAACAGAAAAAGTGGACTCACGACTGTATGTTCCATTTTATTCCCTGACATTAAACAAATGAGGCAAAAGGAGGGATTATTTTGGATTTGAAAAAGTTAAAAAAGGAGCTTATCTCAATGCTTGTATTTACAAGAAAACTACCTTTTATGCTAAGATTTTTGGTAACACAGATATAAAATAATTTCTACAACATTTTCACATTCTCTAGAATTTGTTGCTCAAAAAATTAACCCAGAGTAAATAAAATATAATGCCTTCTCTCTTCTCCTTTGGTTGTTGTTTCTATTTCATGTTTTCATGACAAAAACATAATAAATGAAAGCAATTTTTAATTGGAAATAAAATAAAATGTAAGCAAAAAAAGGYGTCATTACATTAATCCAATTTCTTAAAATATGGAAATATTGAAGAAAAAACTAAAAATATACGAAATTGAAATTCAAAGGACTATAAAATAAAACCCATCTTTTTCCTATTTCAATTACACTATATTTTTTATCATACTCTCAAAAATAATCTAAGATCAAATCAACCGTATACCAAAAATATTTACTCTAGAAAAATTGAAAGCACAATAGTGTCAGCAATATATTGAAAGCCGAATGATCTCATGCCTATTATTTATAAAGCTAAGACTCTTGCATAAGGGAACAAAAGGATGACCTATGAACTGTCTTTCAATATCAAACAGAAGCCATCTGTACTAGGGTGTGGATGGATGAATTTTGACCAAAGATTCTTGAAAATGCCACAACTAAAGTACAAAAGCACAAATCTGAGGGGTTTTGTGGTGCCATAGTGACTAGATCTTTAGGGTTGGTTAGAAAATTGGATTAGAATCTTAGAAGGGTCGAAAATTATTTTACTTCAAACCGCAGCACAGAGGCCATGTGGTTGAGAATACAGCTGAAATATGACAACCACAACAATCTTCGAATCAATATTGATGAAAGAATTTGCATACCTGAAGTAGGAACGTGGTAAAATCCATGTTTGCTACTGCTACACACAAATCCTCCGAAAAGATCACGATATTTCGAACAATATCCCATCCCTCCTCTTGGTAGTCAAAATTTGAATATATTTTTCAGAACTTTTCGTCTTAATATTTTAAAAGTTTAGACGTAAACATTTACATTTTGATTATATGGATGAGATGCACTCACCCCTCTTGGAATTACGCGTATATTTATTTGATACTGACTGAATCCGAACAAAGGGACTGATTTAGTTCTATACACTAGTAGAAAACAAGYTTCAGACAGATCGAAGCGCAGAAATTCAAAAATGAATTTCAATGTTGATTTCAGTGTAATGAACATACAAATCCAATCAAAAACTTTTTGACATGACATTTCCATACATGTATATAACTGATCAAGGAGTGATATGAGAATGAAGACGGAGTGAGTCTCTGTTGGAGAGACATAGAAGGATGACTGATAATTACTTAAACAAAGAGAGCTTGCTTTATGGTTTGAGTATAAAGCGAGAGAAGCACGTTCGAATGGAAACTGAACTCGATCGAAAATCAAGCGTCGACCTGTGACGCGCAAACTTCAACCTACTCTACGGATTCTCGAGATAAAAAAAAAACTCACTGACAGATTAAAACAAGTATAGTGTACACAGTTTTTGAATGTCTTTTTTTAGTAGTACAAAATAGTACATACGTGGTAATGGTCGATTGTTACGGGTTTTTATGGGAAAAAATTGCCGTTGTTTTTTGACAAGTCATGCAGAAAACGACGCGCCTTACGAGAGTTTTCAACGCGCTCCTATCTCAAATAAAATATCCAATTTCTTGTTGATATATGAGCGTTATTTAAAAAACTATAGCTAAAACTTTAAGTCTATGAAGGAGTGATAACTTTAGTCATTCAAAAACAACGGATCGGGTATTTTTATTTTCGAAGAATCGTTTTCGCGACTTCGCGCGAAAACCGATCGATTCGTTTCAATGAAGATCAAGTGTTTTGCTTCAATTCTTTAACAAACTAAATGCTAACAACAAAAACATAGTTACTATTAAAGGAATCTCCTTCACAAATAGCAAACAGGCTCTAAGAAAGATTTGCTGAGTTATTTGGGAAGCGAAAATCGTTGTAGTAAATATAATATAAAGTGATGAAAATCCAACAAACCTCTTGAGCTGTTGGCTACATCTGCCACACGTTGAAAAGCGTCCAGGAATGTATCTGCCGCGGAGGCCGTCGCTCTAGAGACAACAAACAACACGCTTACTATTTTTTAAAGACTAAAAGCTCGGAGAACTATAGAGGAATCTTAAAAGCGTTTTCCTTTGAAACTATGTTTACATTTTACCGGCGAATATAACACAAACGGACGAAGATTTTTTTTACTCACCTCAAAGCAGAGTGGAGTTTGCCAGCCTTGGCTACAAAATCATCCCAAACCGGCCCACTGGACTATAAACAGAGAAACCCGAATGAGAAACAAATAAGAAAGGACTAAAAGATTATTTAGGAAGACAAGAGGGTCAGATGTTTGTACCTTTAAGTCGTTGATGATGTGCTGTATTAGATTGCCTTCAGTTGCTTCTAGTTGTTCTGTCATCTTCAATGGACGACGCGCTTCAAACCAAGGCCTGAATTTTCTTCTTTACGGGTAAAACATGGAGTACAAACCAACACACACTAGGGAATGAAGACCAGAAGCACTGGAATTCCAAGGAAATCAGTTTTTTTTCCTACGAGAAGGGCCAAGCGGATCCACGGTCTGCGGGAACAACACAGGATTTCCGAACACACGGATTAGCGTGAAAATTAGATCACGTGACCTACAACATTAGCATAATGGAGGGTCTGCCCAGCCCGCGTGAAGCATACGAGAGAGAAAATTTTTTTAAAAGGACACCCTATAATTACCTTCTTTTAATTGCATAGTAAATAAAAGCCTTGCTAGAGTAAATCTCTTGCCGGTAAGAAAGATATTTGAGCTAATTTTAGTCTTAGGTATTGAGGGCGAGGATTTATAGGCGCCATATAGACCTGACAGCGTGGCTTCCGGTTTTTACACGTGAGATTGTTTTACAGAATTATCACAAATTAAAAAAAAGAATTACACTCCCTAGGTTTTCTAAGAGTTGATTAAAATCCATTTCGTTAGTAATTGATCGTGTTTTTTGTGGATATTAATTGAGAATGGATCGTAAAGCATTGACACAGTATTTCTAGGCCCTGCTAAATCTAATTAGCTTGAAATCAATCGAGTGTATGAACATATTCTATTTCATACAATGGTATTATCTTACCAATTTCAGCCTCATTGTCTCTAAGTCTAAAGTCAATTATATTTAATTTCGCCTCTGGGACTCGGAATATAATTATTCATCTCTTTGGACTTTATAGGATCAGTCAGGCAATGCTCTACGGTGCCTTCATGTCCAGTCTCCAGAACTAAAGCATTAGTTATCAATTTTTGATCGGTTTATTGAAGTAGAAAATGGCACTATAGGTTATGACTTGTACACTGTCATGTGAATTATTTTTCCTGGATAACTATCAAATTTCTGATCAAATTTCTGGTTAAAAGCTTCATCTGCATGGAGTCAGTGCCTTATCGTTTTAAGACAGACCACGGATGATTCATTAGAGAGTAAATTGAGAGACCACGCAGTTTATATAAGGTGCAGATATGTTTAGACTTTAAGTATGGAAGGTGACCGATGCCCTTCTGGAGAGCTTATCGCTTGTTAGTTCCCTCCAACCCGAGCCAATTAAAATGTACTTGACAACCAGTGATTCTTATCTGGAACCTCATTGCCGCGATATTGTACGCGTATTAATAGCAGTAATAGGCTAAACGAAAGCTTGGTATCTTAAATACATCGTACCTTTACTCCCATCAGTTGACTTGACGAACAAGGTTCTAGAAAGCTTATAATACGTAGAAAAGAGGGAGCGAATCCAGAGAGTGAGTTCATTGAGATGTCAGGGAGCAGGAAGACAAGGAAACCTATTGTAAACCCGGCCAGAGTTGACACTGGTTTTCATGGCAGCTGTTCTGTAGTTTTTACTGACGAGGATCCTAAATGGGTAAAATGGGAGCTCTCCTTTTCTGGGCTGGGAAAATGGGATTTTATGCACAACGAATGGGATTCACAAACAAAAAAGAATCAAAAGTGGGAATGGGATTAAAATTTGAGAAAAACATAGGCTGGGACTATGGGATTGGTCAAAATGGGGTCTGGGTAATGGGATTAGAACCTCCACTTCAGGACCCTAGTCTTTTGCCGTTTCGCAGAAAAATCTAACCTGTGTGTGTGTGTGTTTTTTTTTCTCTCTCTCTCTCTTTTTTGCCTTTTCACTGCTTGTCCGCACTGTTTTGCTTATTCCTTCAAATACATTTCCTTGGTTTTTAAGACTAATCTATTCTATTGTGGTCGAAAAAGTAAAATCATCAAAAGCCAGCAGGTCGTAGGGTTGCGCGGGGGTACGATCAGTAGAAACTTGAAAATCTCTCAGCTCTCTTAGTCTCTTTAAAAAATGTCACTATAAAACCAGAGCTGTGGTTCAAACACCAATACGAAAACAATGATTGCTTATTGTATCGATTTAGATCTACCTTTGACCAATGATAAAGGATCCCGCTATTGAGAGTTCAACAGGAATTAGGTTATCAGTTGAGATGAATGGGTTTAACAGGAAATATATGTCCGGTAACTACATACTTGGAGTAAATACTAACACAGTTTTGTTTTAAATTCAAATGTTTATAATGTTTTAGGTGATTATGCCTGACTATGCAAACAGACGGAAATGATCCAATTAGATCAACATTATGCAAACAAACACGATATATACAGGATATACATCTTGATGCTACTAATTTGTTTGCAATTAATTAGGCAATTAACATGAATACATACTAGCAAAATTATTTTGTGAAATTATAAAAATATGTTCACACCAATTATAAAATTATGCGCAATAGACCCAAAGAAAGACTGTTAAAAAGGTACAATATTAATGAATTACTGATTATTTAACAAATAACAATAAAAATACGTTTTAGTATTACTTCCAATTTGGAAAACTTTGAAAAACCTCATAATCACCGTTCCAGCTGTGAATATCGTCTCAGAATCACCGTCCGTTCGACCAATCACAGCTCGAGAAACTCTATATTCAAGTCTAAAATTATACTAAAATACTTTAGTATAAATACACAGGTGATCATTGAAAATCTCGCGCGCTGATTGGTCGGGAAACTCAGATTATCACACGATAATCACCTCCAGCGATAATCCAAAATGGCGGCTATCCGCTTTGTTGCTGTTACCTAATTTTAAATGTTTCTCTTCGGCTTTCTTTTCTTTTCTTTTTTTGAAAGAATCACCTGTGTATTTATACTAAAACAATTATTCACCTCCGGCTCAGTGATTGTCGGGAATATTTACCTCAACTTCGTTTGTTATCATTCCCCGATATTCACTTCGCCTTCGGCGAATAATTGTTGAATATTGGATGTAATCTATTACTTGATATGACTAGCCAAGCTAAGAAGCATAATCCGATTAAATATACTGCTAGTAGTACAGTACGAACATTAATTATGGTATAGTATATACAATACCATGAACAAATATCAGTCATTAACTTAGGTAATTCGCTAGCTCGCATTGTTAGTTAATTAGTCGTTGCATTAAGACTTACACGGAGTTTTAAGTTACTCCGTTCTTTCTCAGTTGAGGCAGAGCGGCTTCCATACGAATGGGAAATGATACGGGAAAATGCATAGCCGTACTTTAGCCATGCAGTAGCGGCGATTACGCGTCGTGATTGGATGAGTGATTTCATTTGCCCCAACAAAGTTGTATATAAATTAGTGATTAACAGTCCAATTAAAACAAAAGAAAACAATGGAGTTAGTGTCTACTAATGTATTACGTTGACTATTCTTTCGCGGGCGAAGAAAAATCCCTCTAACACACTATACGCTCTAAATATTCAGTGCTACGGTATGTTTAGAAAAGTGTGCGTGCTGTAGCCTGACCTCAGTTCTCTTTGCCTTAAAAATCACACACATATTAGTGAAAAATTATCGCCTCACTTAATAGATTTATCCATACCAGTATTTTAGTTCGACCTCGCAAGGAAACAACGACATCGTACCTGGCAAACGACCAGAGAGTTGTCAATATATGTGATCGCAAAAATACCCTAGATGTTATACAGAATGTTACTGAATTCCATTGAAGTCAAACGGTGGCTTGAACCGGAAATATTTTAGTTTAATAATTAGTAATTACTAAATGCTTTTAAATTTGTCAAAAAAATGCTCTTTAAAGATCTTGGGAATTTGTCTGTTTCAAGATTTTTCAACGTTTTCAATGGTTTACATAAGATTTATGACAAGCTCCAAGAAGTCATGTGATCAGCATTTATGAAGGGGGAAAATAATGTTATGAAATTTTGGAACTGAAGGTATCTGATATACAGTTTATTCTGGGTGATAATAAGCATGCTTTTCTAGCTTAGTTGGTCCGTGTAATACCTGACATACCGTAACATTCCTAGCTAACCACAAGGTTATCGAAAACAACGCCATTGTTGTTCAATGCCTTCCTGTGTTTTGTTCAAGAATGTCTTTGGTTTCCCGCCATACAAGACATAAACCAACCAATAGTCACTCTTAGGATCCGCAAATAGGATGATGCACAATACAAAACATTTGATTTGTCAGACGTATTGGTGTTTGTTATTTCCGACGACAGGAAATGAATCATTTATTTAGTGTTCGATCATGGACAGTGCTAATATTCCACGCGAGATTATTGTTCTTTTCCGACCTGATGGAGCCGTAAGTTCTACGTGAGTCATATATACAGCCATTTCAAAAAGGAAGTTTGTTAAATTTTTTGTTGCGTGTTGTTACTTACTATGTTTAACGTAGAAAAAGTTATGCCGGAAAAATGTGCACACCGTCAAGTTTAGGGAAATGTCATGGTTTTGTGACCTTTTGCAGATTGGATGCACATTGCCCATCCATATAGTGCAGTTGTTATGCACCATGCACCATGCACCATGCACCATGCACCATGCACCATGCACCATGCACCATGCACNGCACCATGCACCATGCACCATGCACCATGCACCATGCACCATGCACCATGCACCATGCACTAATCGTTTTTGGATAGCTGTATATTCAGAATATCGAAAACGAGCATTAGGCTGCTATTGGATACACGAAAAAGAGGCCAACTGTCCCAGTTGAAGAAAGTGGGAATAAATTTTGGTTCATTAATTATTTCTATCTTTTTTTCCCTTCAGTATCGTTCTTTCTTTCAGTTTTTTTCTTCTTTGGTAATTCTATCTTAATTTTTCTTCTTTCTTTTCCATTTTCTGTCCACCTCTTTTTATATCGATTCCCTCTTTTCTATTGTTTTGCCTTTTTCCTTCTGTGCTTCCTTGGATCAGGAAAAAGGATTTATAAAAGAAAATTAAGACGATAGCGATCTTATTTCTTGAAGGCGATTTAAGAAAGACTACTTTTACTACTTCAGTTTGAATATAAGGTGACTGTCTGCAGTGTACAGTAGCTTAGTCTTGTTGGCAACACAAGACGTGACGAAGACTTAAACAAGACCACGACATTCATATCAGATGTAACCGTAGCATTTTTGCGAAGGATAACTAGCATAGTTTTAATATTTAGGTACCATCCCTGCGCTTTTCCCAGTCAGCATCAGCTTTCCTGCACTAATTTATTTTTTGACACTGACAAGATAAATTCTACGGGTTTATCTTGACAAAAAATCACTAACTAAAAAATGGCTTATTTCCCGTACTCGTTTGTCATTTTCCTGTCCACATTTTCCTTTCTTGATTTCTAAGCTGACCGACTTTACATGAATACTTTAATTTACTAAGCTGCACTTTTGAAGATTTGCCGAAAATTTTAAAAGGGAGTTAATGGTTTTCGTTAGATAACAAGGAAACAAACAAAGTGACATCATTGAGCTGCGCCTACGCTTTTTATTAATGGTAAAAAGGCGCGAAATGTCCGCGCGCGCGTGCGGTCCAACACCTTCAAGGAGGGAAAAAATAACATAGCATCTTATTGGTTCTTTACTGGAATGAAAAATATGTATTCTAGTTTCAGTGATATAAAAAAAGCCAATAAATAAAGGGAAAATCCAATGAAGTTGTCAGAAATAGATTGATCAGCTTTTTTGAGATCAAAGTTGAATGTTGCCTTAGAAAGGTAGTGTCGCCACAAGACTCTTTGGTGAACCGACTTGTCATCAAAAACCTGAAAAGGTTCTGGAAATCGATAAGCCCCCTTCAGACAAAGTGGCTTTACGCTTGAAGCTTTACCAAAATCCTATCAATGAAACGTAARGACAAAGACATTGTGGTAAAGGAATAACGAAGAATGTAGTCTCGGGCACACTGAGACGCGTTAGAGTGGTTTTCGTATAAGTGCATGGGAATCGTACGGTTCTGACTTACAGCTGACGTACACGCTACGACAGCCGTAACATTGAAACGACTTTTCATTGTCGTTCAGTAATTCATCCAATCACAACCCGTAGTCATGGTTACACTACATACGGTACGGCTACAGCACGGCTAATAATTCCCGTATCGTTTTCCACTCATGCGAAAACCGCTACAATAGCCCACCACGAAGATGCACGACCGCTGTTGTACGTCTATGTTTTTTATCTTAAATTTTTCATKAATTAAACATAGCATAGATACACTTGTGCCTGACCATCACCAAAACGACGCTAGCAAGCCTGTGTGGCTCGCGCAGACTTAACGACACTAATAGAGGAAGTGATTTTGCCTCGGGACAAATAGACAATCGAGGAGGTTTCTAGTTTTTTTATTTAATGGAAATAGGTGATGACATACCAAAACGTTGACCCTATCTATACTTATATTGCATGTACGTAGATAAATTGTAGGCTAAACACTGCGCAGGAACTAAATACTTCATTTCCGACCTGAACTTTCTGATTAATACAATGATAATAATATCCATGCAATGCTTTTATATTATGAGAATCGCATACTCTATCTGTAATGCGCACTCTTCCCATGCATGTTAGAGAAACGCTTTGTTGTGCGCTGTTAATGCGGCACCCCTCACAGCTGTGTCGTTGTTGCGATCCTAAGATATACATGAGTAAAGTTGTTTGTTATTTCTCTCCTGTGTTTCGAGGGTTTTTGTCTGGGTTCTCCAGTTTTTCTCCTTCCTCAAAAACAACTTATTAGTTCCAATTCGATAATGGAACCGATAGCCGATTTTTTTGTCACCTTGGAAAACGTTATATACAATTGTGCATATATATTACTGGGCCCCCTCCTCCCCACACACACTTCCCCCTCCCCTCCCCCAACTTCAACAAGTGTTATTATCAAGTTTCCAACGAACTCACAACAGGAAGACTATCGCTATGTGAGAAAGAAAATTGGACAGAATCCACACGAGTGACCGCAGTCCTCAGTCTCATTTCACTCAGTACGTTGGCAAGGGGAAAATTTACTATTGCTGCCTTCAAGACGATAACCAGACTGTTATTGATTTTCGTCAAAAATATTGGAGATTCAGAATTCCCTTATGATACGTTTATCTTCCTAGGAAGTCCTATTTTTGTGATAATTCAGTAATAATTTTAAAAGTGTCGTATCAACTCGCCCACTTACGTTCGTGATGACAATCCTATCATTTAGTCATTTATCTATCTATTTATTCAGTTAGATGGCAATTGTCCAAAACGTCTGCCCCTTCCAAAATAAATTACGGAATATTTCACTTATTTTAATCTTATTACAGAATTTCAGTTTTATTTTGGGTATTTTTGCTGGGGTATTTTTTTGTTTTATAATTTCCTCGTTTAAAGAAATATAGCCGCAAAGTCTCAGTTCAAATTAGAACTGATGAAAATGACGAATTCCACTTTCTAATTACAATATATTCTCATTTAATTCTTTTAAATTTCAAACAAAGTATTTATCATTTAGATCATGCGGTTTCTTTTTGTCATATTTTACGATTTCAGTTTAACCACGAACAAAAATTTACTAGCAACTTATGGGTTTTGTATATATACAAACCCCTTGAAGCAAGTTGATATGCGTATGAAGAAATAAATATTCACAAATACGCTCTATCCAATCCTGGTAAAGCATCCTACACGATAATAACCTATGTATATCACTTAGCTATCGTAAAAAGTGTGGGTGAGAATGAGTTATTCAAGCTAGATTATTCCTGATGCTTTCCGTGATAAAATACGGAAAAACTTGACCTCCTGGGGAGAATTTCATTTTCAAAAGACTTCGAATGCGAAAATAATTTTGACGGCTCATTTACAGACTTTTAATCGTCTAATAAGAACTTCATCCCGATGTTTTAGATATTACAAGTAAGATGATAATTTCCTTTAAAAGCCAAAAAGCGATTTCCTAGTGCTTTTAAGTGATTCTTTAGTACTCGTTTCGTGTGGTTTCGTAGAAGTGAGTGTTTTTTTGTGGTAGGCAGGTTAAATTCGCGCGTTATAATCCTGAATACATATAAACAAACCACCATCTTAGCAGTACGTCTTTTCTTACTTAAAACCACCCGGCTTAACATGTAAAAAAAAAAAATATATATATACATATCTTACCATCCAGAGAAGTTTTTCTTCGGATTTCTTTCAGTTTCCGAACCTCACCTCTCTTCTTATTAAACTGCTGTTTCATTTTCTTGAAGATTGTCATTAAAGCGAACAAGACGTGTATGAGTCCAATTGTGAATTTCATAGTACTTATTATTTCCGTGTCAGTCCGAAAATATTGTATTTTAGATAATTTTACGCGTTGTAAAACCGATAAAAAAGGCACAACCTATCAATCTATATAGCAACTTTCAGAACTGGATACTAAAATTTAAGTGTCCTTTGAAATGTGATACACATGTAACAAAATATAGTAAAATAAAACTTCGATAGCTAAACTGAAGTACTACTAAGCCGATAAAGGAAGAAAATCACTCATTTAACTTACCAAATTTAAGTAGTTTTCAAGAAGAGATTCTGGAGGAAAAAATTATTAGTCCTGAGTAAAAGATTCCCTAATTTCGCTCTGGTTTGTAGTAGTATACGACGGTTTGTTGTGGTTGAATGTCTATTCCATATTCTCTAGTTTGTTGCCAAATAATCATGTGACTCGTGATTTCCAAACACGAACCGGTACCGAATAGTAAAACAATCAAGTCATTACTACGAACCAGTCTCACTTTCACTCCATAACAAAAGCTGATGCAACACCTGTTGTTATGACAACGGGTCATATGATTGGAGACGTTTAGCCCACGGGCTGTCTGTGGGAGGATTATATGACGTTTTCTAAAGCAACGTTTTATTTGCCAGAGCAACGAATGCAATTATCTCAAATAATAATGATAAGAAATTTAACTGCACTTAAAAAGTGACACACTTAATTCATGGAATGAAAATAATATAAAAATATGAAGAAGTGAGCTTTTCTGTCTTTTCCGTCTATTCATTTTCAGTCTCTTCGCTTTTTTCCGTCCCTTCTCTATAAGTCTTTTTTTTTTTTTAATTCCCTCTCCTCTCCTCTTATTTTTTCTTCCTTCTTTTCTCTTCTCTTCTCCACTCTTATTCTTCTGTCCTCCCCCTTTTCCTCCTCTTATTTTCTCTTCTCTTCTTTATTTGTTCTCTTATTCTCTCTGTTCTTCCCTTCTTCTTTTCTATAAATAGCAAAATCATAACCATTAATAATCCTTGACATTATTATTTATAGAATGAAGTATACTGAGCATATTGTCGGCATCCCAAACAAAATTTTATTTCTTATAATTATTTTTGTAAACAATTCGAATTACTAACTATGCCTTATGGTATCACTGATAACGACAACATCAAATCTCTAATGGCTAGCAATACTGGTAGATGGCAGTGGTGATGATGAATTATGGTACCCGAGATACCGCTAAGTATTATAATTGCAAAAATATTGGCTGAAATTATACAATCCGCGACGCCTGCCACGAGCCAAATAGAAAAGAGTAATGAACGTGGCGAATATTAACGCGATGAAAAGTGAAAAATGTTTTAAAATAAAAGTGTGATAGTAAACCATGGACAATTTGGAAATAAGGCATATTAGAGAGTGGCGATAGTGTAGGAGGATTATAACGATGAGGGAAAATACTAAAGAATAGGAAAATAAGATCTAGATTAACGATTTCTAACTTACCCTGTTTAGATTCCAGACAGAATATATATTGACTAAATATGAATCAAAAAAGATGACGGATATTAATCATTAGTCTGTGGAGGAGGGAGGGAGGGAGGGAGGGAGGGAGCAGGGAGGGAGGAGTGCCAGTTAACACATTTTAACTCACCCTTTTTAGATTCCACACAGAATATATATTGACTAAACATGAATCGAAAATGAGGGCAGATATTAATCAGTTGACTATGGAGAAGGGAGCGGAGTAGGAAGGAGGGAGGGCGAGAGGGAGGGAGAGAGGGAGGGAAGGAGGGAGGTGGCAGTGTCTGTTAGCATATTTTCTTCTCCAAGCTCAAATCAACACAGTCAGTCTCTTCCTTTGCTTCTACCTGAAGGCTGTGGTACGATTAAAATCAAATTGGAAAAAGAGGCTAAATTGATAAACCATAATCCCGAGCGTGCGTAGGAAAGGGAAGTGGAGTTTGTGAGAGGGTAGATCCCCATACTGTTTCTCTACCTCAGTCACCGCAATCAGGTTGATTAAATAAATGTTTTTTTTTTTTCATTTCCCCCCCCCCCCCCGCTCTGTATTAGTGGTTTGTAATCATTCCCAAAGAGAATAAAATAACGAAAGACGTGGCGGCCATGTTGGATGATATAACAAGAGACTAATGACAAGTCTTTTGTTCAATTCAACTCAGCGTTTCCCTCACACCTGCCTGATCAGATGAGCAGCGCCTCCATTCCGTTCCAGACCCTTCGTTTCTATTGATCAGCACCGATGAAAGAGACCGTTTGACAACAACCAAGGCAGAGGAGCCTGGGAATACGATTGCTATTTTTAACCGTTTTCCTAATCATGGCAGACTAAATTACGATATTTTTTATTTCTTTCCCCTCAGGCGAAGAACAATTACACAGAGAGATGCATTTTTTTAGAAGATCCGCAGGAGAAAAATTGTGCTTGCTAGAAGATGTCATTTTTTTTGTTAAACAAAATGGCAAAATACAGCGATGCGAAAAATTATTGAATCATGCCAAAATTGTCATCATTTATTTCGACGAGGCGTTTGGTTCAGAAATATAAAACTAACTACAAATCCAGAAATAAAAGTTAAAATAGAAATCCAGACTCAGGTAATTAATTGTACATGTATATTATCTCTCTGTTGATCCGACTGCAAATGTTTTAAATATGATCTTGTATAGCAGTATATTTGCATTTTGGTTTCCCTTCAATTTAAAATCCAATTAATTTCGAAAATCAAAATAGTCAACTAGAATTATTGAAGAGCACAGATAAAACAACTTCCAAACTGAAGTGTTCCTTCCAAACTGAAAGTACACTTTTGAAATTGAAATTCATCATTATCATAGTAATAATTATTCTATATTACCCTGTCTCGCTTTCTTTTTTTTTCCCCCCCCCCCCCCCCCCCCCCCTATTCTATGCACCCAATTGCATCATGTTTTAACATCAAGAATTTCATTTGAAGAATTTCATGACTTACAGCCGATTCTGCTCATTGCCAAGTGCTTCAGATAACTGGATAAAAAAGTCATTTTCAAGGAATTTGCAAGTGGTCTCAAATATTTATTTTATTTTATTTATTTATTTAGCTATCCCCGTGAGAGCAGGGACGCCATAATGGTCGGTTCGCCTACTTTGCATATACAGTAAAATTTTAATTTGCGAACTACACTGATGCTGTGGTATGACATTAGGTACAAACTGCTTAGCACTGGCGCGCAAAACTTCCACAAGGATGAGAGCTGATAATGCGAGCAGAGTTTCGAGGCTTTTACTCTGGGTGATCCGATTTTTCTTCCTCCTCTCCGCAACACGCTAAATTCAAATTCGATCTGTGAGATAGCCGCGTCCTGACTTAGATCAGCCCAGAGGTTGTTTTAGGAGTGGATCTTTGTTTTAGCAGTCCCCTGACTTTGATCAGCCCAGAGGTTGTTTCGGGTTATTAATAAAGTTTGAAGATTTATAATCAGGTTCACTGACTCTTTTACCCCCTCTAATATATCGTTAGCATGAAGCACCGATGTCTGCCCGGAACGGCCATTTTAAGAGTGTTCAATTTATACATGTTATTCAGAAGCGAAAGTAATAATCCCGCGTGCCGAGGGTCCGGAAAAATAACCTCTTCCGCGCGTACTGTAAACATAAATAAACCCATTCTAGATTGTTGTGTTTTCAAACCTCCGTTGGTCTTCAGACTCTTAACTTCCCAGGAAAAAAATAATTGGTTGATATTTTTCTTATAGGAAATTAATTTTCTCAAAGCGATGATCGCATAAATTCTTGACCACTGCTACAAAATTCTGTCTCTACCAGCAAGAAGCGATTCTGCGTTTAACCATAGTTAACTATGGTTTAACTCAGACTCTTGCTTTATTGAAATTATTAAAACGATGACACATGCCCAAAAAATTGCATTTATTCGTTAAATACTAATGATATAAATACTGTACAACACTTAATCGATATTTGCAAGTACTTTTCAAGTCAGTCTCTACCAGCGAAAAACGATTCGGCATTGAACTAAGACCTCTGCTTTTAAAAGGGAAATTAAACGATGCCACTTGCGAAAAAATTCCATTTATTCGTTAAACTCTGTTTAAAATCACAAGGATTTAAGAGAACGCTTAGGCCCCGTCCAGACTATGCCGGATAAATTTAAATCCGAATTTTTATTTATTCGGTTCCATTTCGAAAGTTCGTTTTCGGTGAAGAATTGTTCCGGATTCGCCCGTACTAGTGTGGACGGTAGGCCTAACTGAATAAATAAAAATTCGAATTCAAATTCATTCGGTATAGTGTGGACGGGGCCTTAATCGACATTTACAAGTATTTTTCAAGTCTATGACTGAAAGAATTAGCTCTATTTCACATGTTGAAGCATATTGGGTCCGGTTGACACTCACGCAATTACTGACCATCATTTTTGTTTATATTTTTCTATATGTAAAAGAAACTCATTCCGCAGTCGGTTTTTGCACCGCTCACAGCAAGAGGTTCGCTTGTTTATACGATCCTTTTGTCACCAGCCAAAACCTATTAATCATTCGTAAAAAGAATTACTTTCCCGGCCGCATTTGTATAATTCATGAATTCATGACTTTAAGGCAGCTGTCTTATCAGTGTGCTCTACACTCTATCCATCCGCTAGATTCCGCAAGTGACACATCAAAATTACCTCGCGGAATTAGGAACGATTTTGGACAAAAAATGTGAGTATTACAAGACAAATGTTTGCAGAAGGATTTGAGATGAATATTGCGCAATTCTGTTGACATTTTGTGTTTAATTTGTTGACGGATTTAAGTTTGAATATGACATTTACAGTGACTTTCATTTTTTGTGAACTGAAGTGAATTATTTTCCACAAACGTCTTTAAAATATATGATGTGACAAAAACGTTACTAGCGTGAAAATATTTTTAAAATTGCAGTGAAGAGGAATTCCAAACTTAAAAACCCGCATTTGAAATATTTTACTGCCACTCTGAAAAAAGTATATTTATCAGTCGAGCTGATCGATTAGATTTTAGGTGTTCATCGTAAATGGATGACAATATCAAAATTTTTGAAAGTAATGTATAGAGACTCAGGAATATATTAATGATAAAGTCGATAAAGATAATAATGTTCAAAAACTCTGTCAATGAAATGATATATTTTTCTAAAGTATCTGTTTCGTGTTTATTTATTTTGATGTTTAAAATCTTACAGCTTTCAGTTGCCAGGAAACCAGAATGAGACACTTTATATCTATGCATATGTTAGTTCTAATAATATGATAGAACATACTGGACCCCTTTTAAAGTTATCCTAGATCATGATATAGGAAAATACAAAAGAAATGGTCTAATTCAGTCTACATCGAGGAAAAAGTCCGCTTTTTCTTTTAAAGAAAGTTTGTATTTTCCTGCTGCGTTTGTTTAAAATTCAAGAGATTTTTAAAAAGGGTTTAAAGCAATAGACATGATTGAACTCTTTCGCTTGCGCACGCATAACGTTGCAAATAAAACTAGATAGGTTTCGTTCCGATTTTAATGTTCATAGTATTAATTTAATCGAAGTCGATGGCAGAAAAAGAAACCATCCTCTTGAATTGGATAGACAAAAAATAAGACATTTGATAAGTATATAGTCGTATTCATAGTCGTATCATATCTGTTCAGCCAAAGAGTACTAGTACCAGTACGAATCTTATCTTTCGCATCATCAAATTGCTCTTGAAGTGACTTCCATTCCCATTAAGTCTTGAAACATCCTACTCTCATTAAGACATCCCATTTTCCATTGCCGGTGACCTGCCTAAATCCCATTTCTATTTTCCATTTCCCAGTGGATGAAATTCCATTTTCCCAGCACAAATAATATTACACTCCATGATCATGGAAACTAATCTATAGTCAAAAACTTAACTCAACTTATCGATTTTCTTCTTCTTTTTCGACAGAGAAAAATGACTTTCTGAATTGAGTTCATAATAAATGAGTTTCCTAAATACCAGCCAATATTTCAACATCCATCCAACATTGAAGCCAAAATATGGCAAACGTCAATGACATTAATTCCACAAAACGACAGCCTTCAAAGAGCGACGCTTCAGCTGCTTCTCAAAATGATGTTCCCAAACCCAGACTGCTTGCCTGTAGTAAAATGGAGGTACATAAGAAGGAAGTCGACAATAAAAGGTTGAAGATACGACAAAAGTATGGTAAGATTACTAGTGAACTCGAGACTAGACCAAGGACATTCGTCACCAAGGTGCAAATCAAGTCCAAAAAGCCGGCGTTTGAAGACGACAAAATAAGAGTTAAATGGGAGCACAAGATTCAAAATCCTCCGTCAATTTCATCATCACAGGAATTCCAGTCAAAGTCAGAGACTGAAAATGAGAGTGGCGAAACTCCCGCCAAAAATGCTACCAGTGATTTCCCAAAAAATCGTTTGATTCCTTCAGCAGAAGATTCGATTGATTTGCTTTGGGCTGATGAATATTGCCCTGTGCAGGAGAAACAGGAGTACTTAGAAATAAACAAACTAATTCATCACTTGTCTCGAAGACAGAGAGAATCGTCAACTCTGCTAAGCAAGATTCCTCAACGACCAACTGCAAGTTTCGCAAGGCCAACTAAGGGAGAGATTTCACTATGGATGAAAAGTGCAGCAAATAAGAGTAACGCCAAAAATCCCTTTTTAACAGGACCACGTGATCAGGACTCCATTAGACCGCGTTCGAGAGCCTGGTCATTACCGCTATATCGCTTTCATTCCCCCTCGACTGAAAGTATGCGATTTGAACAAAGCCAATGTCAATGCCAATGTCTTGAGATTCGAAGGCCTTCTAGTGTTCCGATCAAGCAAATTTCGCCAAGATGAAGCCTGAAAAAAAATCATTCGGGGAATTTTAAAAACTTAAGGTGGCTCGACCTGTTTTTGCTCTTGGCGTGCCTTTGGATGTTTGGTCGGGAAATGCATTGAAGTACATGATCTGATTTCGATCATCATGCCTTCCTTTTCCATATTGTATTTCTATGAATTGTGTGCATTACGTATTTGACCATGAGTATATCGACACGTAATATCAATAAAAAAGGTAGTAGATGTTCAGACGTACTAGAAGTTCAATAATCAAAAATATGAAAAGGGTAAGAGTCTGTCATCGAAATTTAATGTTTAAGAACCAAACTAGGCCTTCACCGGTGAGACCCGATGGTGGTGAATCCAGAGGAGTGAGTACGAGGACATTTTTCATGCGCAAAATAAGCCTCAATAGATCTCTTTAGCTTGGGCGCAATCCTTTACGCATCTCAGATCACGTGCCATTCCCTAAAGTATCATTTCTTGGGGTTATCGCTTGCGCACGACGAGACACATATATATGGACACAACTGAAACAAAGAATCTTATGTTAAAGAGAATGACACGTGGTTTGATGTAATAATTGTTTCCGGTCCGGTATGCTTCTTCTGTTAATTTTTATGATATTCTTCTCTAGTTTAGGAGTCTATTTTTTTAGTATTATTTAAATCTTGGTTCTTTTGATATAAATAATCCGAAGGTAAAGCTACATGCGAGCTTGAGCATGGTCAATGCTAGACATCATCCCACATCGAACATTGAGATTCCAGTTACCGATATAGATCCCTCAATCTGGGGGATAAAACAATAGTTTCCAATTCTTAGCAAATCGGAATTCTTTTGTTTTGTCTCTCAGATCGAGCTGCTTCGACGTCACATGCAAGGGGTCTATAAATAGCTGATTTAAGCTTTATCGAATAAGAACGCGTTTGTACGATGTCCGGAAGTAAGTTTTGCGTAACGTTCGTAAGCAGATGACGTAAGACGATTGATAAACGTTTAATTATTGAGCTGCTAACATCTAAGTGAGCGAGTAAGCGAGCGAGTGGGTGAGTGATACATTTTCATATTCAAACCCCTCACAATAACTCGTTTCTACGCTACGCGTATGCACGATTAAAGACTCTGCCCTCGGTCTTGAAAACGGACCTCGGATAAATAACATATACATGTATTCTCCACAGTCTGGGCTATTTATATTTACACCCTAACCCTAATGACGCTTCACGCCTACTAAACTGCCACAATCCGTTTGAAAATCTCTTTTCATATTCAAATGTTAAAACTCCTCTGAGAATACCAACAAAATAGTGAAAACTAGCACACACAAAAAAGCTACCAAAAAGGATCGTGGAAGTTCAGTGTAATCTTACCATCTACCACTAGTGGGTGGACAGCATAATACCTAACAGGTTTTGCAACCCAATTGATAAGGCAGTCGATAGATCGAGTTAGAATTTAGTTTTGAAGTTGATTTTCGAGTTTGAATAATGTACTGTACTTGCATATAATGACCCCAGTGCATGATGGGAGCCTGAGAACTTCCGGGATATGCTTCGCTTGTCACGCAGAAAGGTTTCAGTATGAGGCCCGGGGGGTTGCCGCCCTATAGGGTATAATTTTTCGGCTTTTGGTTCTGGAGTAGGGTATCATTTTTTGACGTTTGGTCTGGGATAGGGTATCATTTTTGTCTGGGATAGGGTTAACGATTTGGTTGTTTTTGTCTGGCGAATAGACCAAATTCCGAACTCGCACCGATGTGAGGCTTAAGTTGTGAACAAAGGAATCTGGCGTGATTCGTGACTTTTGAATCACGCCAGATTACTTTGAGTCACGCCAGATCCCTTTGTTCACAACTTAAGCCTCACATCGGTGCGAGTTCGGAATTTGGTCTATAGGCTACGCTTTCCAGTGGCGGATCTAGGGGTGGGTTTTGGGGGTTGCAACCCCCCCTATGAGAGCCATCGTGATTTATTAT